AAGTTGCCCGTGATAGAAGAAAAGTAAGCGGTGCCATATTCGATTGACGACAACGACAACGACACAACGACAACACGACCTGTTTCCATTATAATGTTGCTGAGAATCAACACCAAAGGAAATATTTCTTCGGAGTTGTTGGTGTTACCTAAACGAGACTAGTAGTAGTTGTTCTCTCTGTCTTTCTTTTAGATACTTTTATCTTTTCATCCTTTTTTATTTCTTTTTTTTTTTTCTCATACCAAGTAATACCGTATACCAAGTAAAACCATTTCATTTATCTCTTTCTCTTTCATTCGCATAACTTAAAAAAGTAGTAGAAGATACACACACATACATACACATACACAGATACACACACATGCACGTTTACTGAAGAAGGAAACTTACGCGTTACGTCAACTTCTTTCTTTTCTTATTTCGTTATTTTATTTTTGTTTAAATTTTTCTATTTCTCTTTTACGCGTAGATTTATCATGACACGTTTGTTCATAATCAAACTGATATCGATATCATTGTTAATTATTTTTCTTACCATAGAACAGATCTAGAGAACGAAGATAATTAATCGATCTTCTTTTATTCATTTCAATTATTATTACAATAGAAATGTTTTTTAAATATTTTCTAACAAAATAATTTAGTCTCGAACGAGAGAACACACTCGTGTGTTCTCTCACACTAAACAAAATATATATCCGAATATTTCAACAACAAAATCTATGCAATGAAATTTAGATTAAAAAATACACTTTACAAAACATTTCAAATCTAATATATTATCTCAAAACGAAATATAATTGATTAATATCTAATATTAATTGTTTCAAACGCAATATATTCTAACGACAAGAATTTTTTTGGTACAAATCTGTACGAATTCACGGGGTTTGGTGGAGATATATTTTAAATCGTCGACTCGACGGGAAAATATCGTTTAGATAACACGAGCCAAGAGTTATATCTGTGGTGAAAAGAAAAAAAACGAAAAGAAAAGAAAAGAAAAGAAAGGAAGGAAGGGTAGGATGGTCAAAAAAGTTTCGTGAAATGCCGTAAAAAGGTTCCTCTTGTGGCACGAAGAAGAGTAAGAGAAGAAGGGTGAAGAAAGGAGGGAGATAGGGTGGGGTCGAGGGAGGTAGGGAGGTAGGTAGGTAGGGAGAAGGGCGGAGCGGATATAGAACGATAAATATCGCCTCGGTATGGAAGTTTTTTATTGCGTTGAGAGTGCGAACTGGCTGGCCTCCCCTTCTATGTGTGTCTGGTCATTTTTCGCACCACCTCTAACCATACTTCTTTTTCTTTCTGTCACTGTCTCTTTCAAACCTCCCCCCACACCCCCATCCTATACTCTACTCTCCCCCTCTTCTCTTCTTTTCGCACTCTTAACCGTCTACTCGGTTCTTTTTTTTTCTTTTTCTGTTTTTTTTTTCGCTTAAAAGGAAGGAAAAAAAGGGGCAATGAACTCTCATCCTCATCGTAAATCGTTGACCCACTGTGTTTCTGAGCTTCTTCTTCTTCTTCTTCTTCTTCTTCCAACCGTTCGGACACCATCACCATGCACACATCGGTTGATCACAATGGTCTCTCACAGTTTCCATAATATAATCAAACGAATTTCAATTATATTCTCCTATATATACGAGTTTCGCAAGTTACCCAAGAATTATAGAATACAACACAACGATCGTGGGTCGCGATTAAATTTTCATGAATTAAAGAAAGAATGAGTGAGAGAAAGACGTTTAAATAAATTGTAGAAAGGTAGTAATTAATTTGTACTAGGAGGGAAGGAAACAAATGTTGTTGTTGTAGTACTACAGTGATTTTATTTAATTAGGATCGTTAGATATCCATACAATTGTGTGTAAGATAAATCAATCAAATCGATGATTATTGTTGCTAGAAATTTTGGTTTAGTATATTTTGTTGTTGGGATTAGGTGTATATGATATTATTTTCTTAGAATTAATTAATTAATTAATTAAACGCGTGTTGGCTTATGAATTAGCATGTTTTTATAGCAATACGTTAGTTGTTCAATGAGCTAATGTAATGAGAAAAAAAAAAGATAAAATTAAGAGAACAGTTTTTAGCAGCTGTTATTTCCTACTGCTGCTGTCGTTGCTGTTGTTATATTGGTGCACAAGTTGCAGAAAGTTGCAAGTTACGGTGTTGCGATGAATATTTATATATCTTTATATTTTCCTATAATACCCTGTTTACTTTTTTTATTTTTCTTCTTCTTTTTCTTTTTTTTATTCTCGTTAACCAAGCTATAATGTAACAGTAGATCCAATTACAAGCTGCACATCGCGCTGGGTCTCCGATTAATTGCACGACGACGTTGCAGCTGCCATTCCGTTTTCTTTCCTCGTTTGGTGGTGATGGTGGTTGGTGATGGTGGTGGTTGGTGATGGTGCTGGTGGTGTTCCTGTTACTTACTTGGTATCTTTAAAATTCTGTTGCATCGCAACAGTGCATTTGTAATTTTTTTGTCCGTTCATATAAAATTCAGTAAGCCAACGATGATTACCACCTCCTAATAGTTTAAACCATTCGATTAACAAACTATAATACAAAAAAAAAATCATCTTTGTTTTCGAGAGAACAATTATTTCATCCTAATTATGTGAATACAACGAGTCGAATGATCGATTTATAAAATTTGTGATTATAATTCGTTCGTATAACACGTATACTACAATTGATTAAAGTTTTCAGAAAATAAATTCTAACTTTATCGTATTGTCGAGAAACTTAACATCAATATTTACAGTATAGAGGAAAAGGGAGAAAAAAGAGAAGAAAAAGTTAATAAATAAATTCTATTTATATAAATTAATGAATAAATTAATATAATATATAATATCAATATAAGATTCCTAGTATCTTTTCTCATTTTTCAAATGAAAGTTTGGGGTGAAAATTGTAGCAGGCATTATATGGAGACACGATAAATCGGTAAGGGAATAGTAGATGGTAGCAGAATCATGGTGGAGGGCTTAAAGCTTAAATTAATGCCCATAATTCAATGGGAATCGAGGCCATCGAAGAGAGAGAGAGAGAAAGATAGAAGCAGCAGCAGCAACAGCAGTAGCAGTAGTAATAGTTGTAGTAGTAATAGTAGTAGTAGTAGTAGTTGAGAACGGAGCTTGGCAAAACAGTCTCGCGTTATCAGCGTATGCCGTGAAGGTGGCGGAGCAGTACCGGCAAGTTCCATTCGATATATCGATCGTATGCTGCTTCGTCGACCAACTTCATCCACCGTAAGCACGTAGGGAAAATGTATTTACGTATGTGTGAGTACTAACGTGTATATATATATGTATATGTACACGCAAAGCTTTCGTGCGAGCATCCTGACTTGTACCTTTCGAATTTCCTCCCTTAGCGATGAATTCGAACGAGCACCACACGTGAAAGAAGGTGGAGAAGTAGGAGGGGGGAGGGGGAGGGTGTTAATGACTTTTCTATCAGATATGGGAATCTTTCGTGACGAGTACATAACATAACTGGATTTTCTTTTTCCTTTTTACTTCTTTTTCTTGTTTTTTTTTTTTTATTTCGTACCTTTTCCTCTTCCACTTACCCCTCTTACATTTTTAAATAGCGTGCTTGGTTGGTTGGTTGATTTTGTATGAAACACATGTTATTCCACGTCAACGTTGTACGTCGTAGGTTATTTCACGGCAGCCCATGAAAATATAAATGTATGTATGGTATATGTATATTCACGAAGAAAGAGAGAGAGGGAGAGAGTGTAATTGAGAATAGTTAACATCAGTAATTACGTCGTGAGACATTTATTAGAATGATTGAACATGGTAATATGGGGGAATAGGATATAAGTAAATACATAGAGATAAGATTTGAAATGTATTATATTGGATATAATGTAGTTATATTTCGTTAGATATATTAACGTTAAAGGAATAAAAGGGTAGAGATGTTAAACTTAGTTTATTTCTTACTTATTTTACTTAACTCTCTCTCTCTCTCTCTCTCTCTCTCTCTCTCTCTTTCTTTTAATGTAATATCGATAGATCACACCTGACGTTATAAGACAACAACGACAACAACTTACACCGAGAATTCGTGTTAGGTCGCGAAAGTATCTCTCACCGATCGCTAGTTTTATAAGATATATCAAACGTTTTACTCTTTTCTCCAAGATAATAAGATAAGATTAAACCAAAGAGAAGTTTGTTATAATGTATTTGATATTATACACAGATATACTTTTAGAACTAAGTATATATATTAGCTGATTAAATTTGTATATGTCTATGTAATAGAAAGAGATAAGAAATGCCATATTATCATAGTTTAATGGTATCCATTTAAGACGAATCATAGTCTATGTCTTTGTCGTTAGTTCATTGGTTTCCTCCTCTTGCTATCAAATGGTCACTAATGAAGAACTAATTACACGCGAGTAGCTAGCTAGCTAGCTAGCTTGCTTGCTTGCTTGCTTGCTGGGACTCTTTGAGTTTTATCGCATATAAGGCGAGTCTTGATGCTACTGAGGTATAACTTGGTCTTCCTATAAGGAGTAAAAATAAAAGAAAGACAGAGAGAAAGAGAGAGAGAGAGAGAGAGAGAAAGGAAGAGAAGCCCATAACACCACTAGCAACAGCAAGAGCGGGCCTTGCACTTAATTAAGACGTCTCTCGCAATTAGGTACTTTTACGATCGGCGTTAAACTCGATCATTCTGCGCACGCACGAATCAAGTATCTTTCTCTGTTACCATCAGCAGCGATTACCCACTACTACTACTACTACCATTATCATCACAACCACCATCATCACTACCGATCGTTACGACTTTCCATTTTCAGACAATTCAGTATATATATACACTGATCTTTTCTCTCTCTTTCTCTTTCTCTCTCTTTCGTAGTAGAATTAATCGTTTAATTATTCTTTATGATTCTCATTTGTTTACCGATATATACGTGTGATTTAACGTTGAAACGTTGTGAATTTGTTATGTTACAGCGAGAATGTCGAGCAGCGGGGTGACGAGCGGTCCAGTAAGTCAAGTTTGTCGGCCGCATTTTCACAGCACGGTATTACATCCGTGGTTATCCGGTAGCGGGGCGGATACATCTAAAACGCCATGGGGTTTTCCAACGACAACGGCATCAACCGGTGGTACAGTAAACGACGACAAACCACAGAGTCCATTGGGTTCATCTTTACCACCGACAACGGGTAGTTTATCGAGTCACGGTGCAGGCGCCGGTACACACCATTTGTTTTCTTTTCCTCCAACGCCGCCTAAGGATGCAACGCCGGATAGTATAACGGCTAGTACGACATCTAGTTCTAATAATAACAATGGGACGAACAACAACAACAACAGCGGTAGCGGTAGCAACAATAATAACAACGGTAGCGGGGCGAACTCTTTGGGAGGATTGGGTGGTGGCGGTAGCAGCGAGTATCAAGCAGCCGTGGCCCATGCAGCGGTTATGGGGGCGTTTATGCATCATCAGGATGCATTGGGAGCAGGCGGGGCGGGTAGTTGCGACGTTAAACCAACGGTTATGTTGGGTCATCATCATGGAGCACCATCGCCGCCTCATCAACAGCAGCACGGTGGGAACGCGGGCAACAACGGTGGTAGCAGTAACAACACGGCGGCCAGTTCGGGACAGGTGAAACAACGCGAAGGTAATAACCAATCGGGAAGCGGTCAACAACAAGCGAATGGCTCTCAACAGCAACAACAACAGCAACAGCAGCAACAGCAACAACAGCAGCAACAGGACGCGTATCAGAATAACAACGGGGCCAGTTCCCCCTGCGGAAGGGACAGCTATGCCGCCGCCGCTGCTGCGGCCGCTGCGGCTGCTGCGGTCGCCGCAGCCGCCGTCTCCAACAGTCACCACGTGGCAGCAGCAGCAGCATCGGCCTCGGCGGCACAATATGACCCGGCGACGAGTGCCTACAACATGTATCAACATTTGCAGTACCCCAACGCTGCCCACCACCATCACCATCATCATCATCATCATTTGAATGGTGGTGGGGGTGCTGGGGGAGGCGGCGGCTCCGGCGGCGGCACGGCAACGTCATCCTCCTCGTCGTCCTCCGCGTCGTCCCACAATCCGCATAACAACAACAATAACAACAACAACAACAGCAACAACAATGGGAACTCCGGGACGACGGTCGGCGCTCTTTTTGCCGCGGCGGCGCATCACGGCACCGGAAATGCCAATTCGGGTGTCCCCGGTGTCGTGAGCCCTGCCGATTCGAAGTTACTTTCGGCTCATACGAGTAACGCGCATCCCAACAATCCGGGCTCGCCCGGCGCGCATCAACACCATCAACAACAAAAGCCCAGGAACAAGTCGAGAACGTCCGCCGGTAAGCGGCACGCCTTATGCCCGCGCCCATTTTCTTTTTAGTTTTTATTTAATCATCCTTTCTTTCTTTTTTTTACTTCTTCTCTGGTTTCTTCTTTAACAATTTTCTTACTTTTCTTTTATATTATCTTTCCTTTTTCCGCTTTTTATTTTCTATATTTAATATTTGTGATTAGTTTTTGTTCATATGGTTTGTTTTAACTTGCTTTTATGGTTGCGGTTATTTTAACACTTATAATTACATTTTCATCATATTTCTTGTTTTGTTGTCCTACCCGATACGTAGACATATCATTTTCCTTCTATTATTATTTTGTTTCAGTTATTTTATTCTCTTTTTTTTTTTTTTATTAACGTCAAAAGTACCGATAATATATCGCCAGAAGAAGAGGGAGGGAGAGACGCAGTGATATACACACGTACACTCACACACCAGTTTTGTATTTTGTCCGTAATTCACCGATCTGTAATTTTTTTGTTTTTTTTTTTTTTGTTTTTGTTTGTTTTATCTTTTTGAGTGGCCTACACCATGCGAACAAGCGTTTTTATCGTCGATAGTGCACCACCCACGAATAATACCACTGATTTTTTGACGTGTCACACGTGTTACACACACACACACACATTAACATTACTCTCATCTATTATTTTAATATTTGCATAGAAAAAAGAAAAGAAAAAAGAAAAGAAAAGAAAGATAAGAGAGAGAGAACAAAAACACAGAGGAATAAAAAAAAACCCCTCGTGAGCAAAGCGCACAGTTAGATTTGGTTTTTTTTTTTTTTTTAATATTCTATTTTTTCGATGTGGTGTGGCTATCGCTAATTAAATTATATAATATACATACATATTTTTTTGTTTTTTTTTTTTCTTCTTCTATATATATAATAATAATATATTAATATATATATTTTTTTCTTTTTTCCGTCACATATTCTAAATTGTTTTTTGTCACAGCAAATCTCCCCCTCTCGCAAAAGAGAGCCCCTCGTTGTCGTCGTCGTGGTCTTCGTCTTCGTCGTCGTCGTCGTCGTCGTATCCACGTGAACTCTCAAACGGCAAACCTTTCCGTATATTTTTTTTTTCTCGGTTATAATCTATTTTCCATATTTATACGATAAAAAAAGGGGAGAAAAAAAAACAATATTAACACGCACACGACCACAATCGTCATAATGAACGATGATGACGTGAACCGGCAAATCGAAAAACAAAAAATAAATCAAATTTGCAAACAAACATTTGACGCTTACGTAATTTAATATTGCATTATATCGAACAATAATAATAATAACAACAAATAAATAGTTGATTCGTCGAAGACTGACATACTCGTACACAACCACACCACCCACCCCCATTTCAAGGGAAAAACATAAAAAAATAAAATAAAAGGAAATAAAAATGTGTTGGTGAAATGGTTAAGAATAGAAAGAGATAGATAAATGTAGAGAAAGAGAGAATGACAATAAAAGGAGAAAGAAGAACAACCAGGGTGGGGTGGAGTGATGTGGTGTGGGGGGGTGTGAGAGGAGTGTAATGAGAATGAGACGGCTGAAAAATGCCGGATACGCTGATTGCGGTAATAGCCGGTCTCTACCAACGACGGCGTGGTAAAAATCCTAATTCCAGGAACAATGGTTCGACTTCGCGCCGTTGGAAGCCCGCTAATTAAATCGACTTACGACACATGCACACACACACACACGATTCTCGAGTTTGCTATTCTCTATCGCAAAGACTTCGAAAGTACGTCCTATTCTTTAACTCTTCTACGTAGTCTTTGCTAAGAAAAGAAGAAGACAAAAAATATAGAAATTGTAATGGAAGAAGAAGATAGATACAGATTGGATATGTGTGCGTGTGTGTATATATATATATATATACCAACTCGATCTTGGAAAAACTTGAAATCAAGTAAAGGGAAAGATGAAACGAAACACTACTCTAATAAACGTCAGTGGTGAATTAATTGGAAAGATCGCGATGCTTGATTTTTATCTAATCTTTCTTGACACGCGACCAATGAACACCAGATTTACCAATTTTAATATTTCTCTTTATATTTCTTTTTCTCTTTTTGTCCAAATTATTATGAGATAATTACGGGGAGGTTGTATTATTTTGAAATTTACAAGAAAAACGATTCGGTATTTATTTAAGTGCTAATAAGAATAATAATATATTTGTGTGTTTCTAAATTTTGATTAGATTTTTTTTTTATTATTTTTTTTTTCATTATTGGTATATTGTCATCGGACAAATAATATCATTTTAGATATTTATATTTATAATTTTTAATTATATCTTAATTTGTATAAAAGAAAAAAAAGCACGTATAGTTCGTTGTTGAGAAGAAAAAAAAAGTATTATCGTTCAATTAGATTTATATATAAATTGTTGTTATAACGAAACAAATGAGTAGGAGTAGGAGTAGGAGTAGAAGGGTGGAGTAAGTAAAGTGGGTGAGTGGATGGGTGGGTGGGATTGGTGGTTTTGGTACCGCAAGAGAGAAATTGGTAATTCGTTGATGAGAAAGAAAAGGAGAGGGATATAATCGTAGCTCGTTATCACCCTCGAATCTGTTCCCGACAGTAAAACCGAGGAATCGAATTAACCGAGCTATGGGTGCATCATATAAGGCTTGGCTATGCCTCGCGGTCCTTCCAATTAGTTTCCGAATCGAACTTATCCAGTCCGCAGGGCAATTAGGGACGCGTTAAAGCCGGTTATGACGTTAGTTCTTAAAATTAAATCGAACAGAAAGATTAAAAAACGAAACAAACCAAAAAAGAAGATAAAAGAAAAGAAATGAAATGAAATGAAATGAACAAGAAGACAAATAAGAAAGAAAAATACGATGAAAAAGATGATGATGAAGATTTTTATATTTGGTGTTGTGTGATCATTCTCAGATGAAATCATGAAATTGATGATTGGTAACATAATCGAGCAAACATCTTCTCTACCAGGCTTCTTATTGGATTAATGCACAATACAACATTCAAGATTTACCATAATCGAGATTAGCTGAAATTCGAAGGAGTCACCGACCGTTCGTTCGTCTTTTTATACACACTATTCAAATACTCCACTTCATTGTCCTAATTTCCTTTATAGAACTAAAAAAAAAAAAGAAAGAACATTTATTCTAAACGTATCATAAGAGGGACGGGGAGGAAAACACGCTGTTGCACGACCCTAACTATATACATATATATATTTTGTTCCTTTCTCTCTAATTTCTAATTCTCTATCTATCTAGTTCATCTAATTTTCTCTATAATCTTCGATTAAACGAAAATAAATATATATTTATATCGATCTCTTTCGATATAAATTTATAATAGTAATAATAATAATAATTTTTAGTATTAATAATAATAGTAGGAATAATTTTCAAATTATCCGAGCTTGAAAGGAAAAAAATAAGAGAAAAAAAAAAAGAAAAAATATAACAAGACTTTGCTTTTGCTCTGATAAATCGCTTAATGTGAAATATGTGTTTTTTTTTTGTTTGTTTGTTGCAAATTACTGCATGAACCATCAGTTTTTTTTTTTTTATTCTTTTCCTTTGACCTAACATAAATTCTTTTCACGTCTAAAATGAATAAATAAATAAATTATTAAAAAGAACAGAGGAAAAAAAAAATTTAGAGAAAATGTGTATATATATTTATATATTTTTTTGTTATATAATAAATTAATATTAAAGAATTTATGTGCAAGAGTCAATGTGTAACGCTTATTCGATCAATAATTATCGTTCGATCGAATTTCAAATGGTTTTGTTTTTGAATCGATCGATGATTTATGATCACCTTTTTTCTGTCTCTATATATGTGTTTATATATATATATATATATATATATATATCTATATATCTATCTATATACATATATATATATATATTTATATGTGTGTAATTTAGTCTGTAATATACTTTATCGATTTATCGTAAGAACATTTTTTAATTGATGAACTACAAGGATATGTATAAAAAAAAACACGAAATACTAATTCGATTTTTGTTTTTTTTGTTCTCTCTCTTTTTTGTCCCCCGGGACGAAATCGAACGTCGTGTGCGTGTTCGCGTTGTATGCGTTCACACATACACGTAATATAGAGGGTCGTGAGTGCGTTAATTGCGGTGCAACTTCGACACCTTTGTGGAGACGAGACGGTACTGGACATTACCTCTGCAATGCTTGTGGTCTTTACTACAAAATGAACGGACAGAATCGACCACTAATCAAACCTAAACGCCGCCTTGTAAGTACCTAAGCTAATTTATATTCTAATATCGATAATTTTCAATTAGTTCATTTTTTTTCAGTAATCAATTATTATTAATCTTAAGATGATATAATTATTAAACGAAACTATAGACCACAAGTTATAATATATTATTAAAGAAATATTATTATCCAATTTTTTTCCACAAAATTTGCGATTAAATAAAATTTTATTCAAAGAAAATATCTAATTAAAAAAAAAAAACTAACGCGACGCTTCGTTTGGATTCCCTTGAATATTAATAATATTCATTTTTAATCTAAAATTTTTTCTAAAATGAAACACACACACACACACACATAATATATGATTTGAAATAAAACGTAAATATTAAAATTTGATAGCTATAATAATATAATAGTAATAATAATTAATAAAACAAAATATTATATTATTATATTTAAAGAATAAAATATATATATCGAAGAAATATTTCTAATCATAACTTCGTCTAATATTATCGATATATATTATATTAGAATATAATAATAAATTAATACATATTATTATAATATATTATTATTTTAATCAAGGTATACAATATATTATTAACATTTTGAAAATCGTGGCAAGAACGTCTGTACAATAAGATTTATTAAAAAAGGGTTCATTCAAATTCTTATTACATTCTACGAATGTGTAATAGAACAAAAGCATATTACAATACTATCATACATAGACGTTCCTTATATATATACAAATACTAGTTCGCACTTTAACTGATCACCGATGCGTTTCATAAGCACGACAAGACCATTCTACACCCGTCGAACGTACCACCATATTCGTAAACCGGAGTCCTTGAAAAACCTTTCCTTCGTGCACTCCGCACTCGGGACATACTTAATTAACGTTAACGTTGGACAACAAACTTGAGTTTCTCTCCTTCTACTAGTCTCCCTTGTCCCCCTTTACTTCTTCCCACCCCCTTTTTGCTCTTTCTCACTCACTTCGCATCCCCCCACCCCCCTTCCTTCCTTCCTTCTTCTTTTCCACCTCCTTCACCTCTTTTTCTCTTTCTCTGTTTAGTCGTATGCCGATGATGTAGTCATCAGAATGCAAGATAAGACAAGGCCAAGTTAATTTCCTGTACACAACGATTATAATAACGTCTCGTCCTTTTTTCTTTCTTTTTTTGTAATTTTTTTTTTTTTTTATATATATATACATACGTGTTTCTATCTTCGTTTTTTTTTTGCGAACGATTTTTATAAGTATAT